GATGTAAATTTAATGAATAATGCATAGATAAAAACGAACAAAACAAAGTGTTAAATACTCCGTAACAGGTAATACAAAAGTTAGCATTGGCTAAATAATATCCCTTAAAATTTATTAACAAAAAATTAGATGGGGTATAAGGTGATATATTGAAGTATTTTTTTAAAATACATATGCTATTATGGTATTGTTTTCATATTTTAAATCAATTAATAACCAAAAATATAATAGTTACACACGGAGTAAATGTTTTCATGGGAAGATATACATTTATTTAACTTATTTTCTTACTAATAATTGAAATTTGTTCACTCCCGTCTCGAGTTAATTAACACAATTTGATTTTATTACGTATAAATTTAAGAAAAAAAATTTAAAAATAAGTGATTAAAGTTTGGTTTAGAATGAATAGCAAGATTAAGCACTACATATCCTATAGTTTATTAAAAATGTATAGAAATTTGACAATTTTCTGGGAGGAAATTGAAGAGAAAAGTGTGATAATTTTATTCGGGTGAATAACTGCGCAAGTAATTTCTCTGTTAGCATGCAAGGGGTTTAAGGTTTAATTAGGACTAGAAGGTTTATGAAGTTTAATTTTTTTAAACAAAACATTGTATGAAGTAATTGTATCTCCCCAAAATCATTTTCAACTCAATTTATATAAAGAATGACGTAGAATTAATTACAAAGTTTGTATATTTTAAAAGTTGAACCCCAACGAACTCATAGGGTCTCTCTAGCTACATTAGGTTGGAAAGAGATAAATTGAATTATAACTTTAGTCTGATCAATCATTCTTTATCCACGTTGTCAAGAGTCAAACTCGGATTTATTTTACTTATAGTAACAGTTAACACTAAATTCTGGACCAGCTAAGATAGATTTTCAATTTATACAATAATGTAGATAAATGAGTAGGTAGGTATAGTAGTTGTTGATAGCAATGCATATCTTGGTGATAGATAGACACCAAGCTTTTGACACTCACAACACATATCTTGCCAATTATGGGCACACACCATGCACAAAACAGGCTTTCATGCATTCATCAATTTTGGTTAAAATTACCACAAAGACTCATTTGTCCTCTCCATCTACCCATATATCATAGGTAGATTTTTAGGTTAGTTTTTAACTACGATTTCTATCCTTCTTAAATTGCATAGTGCTCGTCGGTTCTGAGCGTCAACTCAATCTTATTATTGCAAAAAATATGCGGGGACCGCATGTATCGTAATCTGTCCCAATCTCACATCAGTATGATATTGTCTGTTTTATGCAGAGTTTTCGCTGACTTTTTTAGGCACACTCTAAAAGACCTCCTGCTATGGGTGCTTTTTTGTGCTGGTATTTATGGCTTATTGTTGATAAATAGTTTTTAACTTATAAACTGCACATAAGTGAATTTTTTTCTGAAAAATGACTTATTAAATGATACTCCGTAGATAAGTTGTTTGGGAAAATTCATAAGTAATAGTGAATAGTTTTGTAAATAATCTTATTGAAACGTAAAAACTATCTTAAGAATGAACAAGTACAACTTATTTATTTTTCTAGCTTATAAGCACATTAAAATATGTCATCAACTAATTTATAAGTTTAAAAACTGTTTATAAATATTTTTGACGAGCTTATAAGTACGAAGAAACACTTACATAATGTGTTGAGTTAAACCGTTTTAATTTTTATAAAATTGATATCCATGGAGACAATATATTTTAACATTAGAAAAAATACAGAGTAGGAATTAACAATCCAAAAAAAAATTTGGTTGCAACATAACAAATTTTAATCATTTGAATATAACACCAAAGAAGCCTTGCATCAGCAACTAATTAGTTTTGGACTTTAACCCAAAAGAATACAATTATGAGCAATAATAATATTAATAACCAACGTACAATAATTCACTTTTTTGCTGATATATTAATTTCTTTTTCCCTCAATTGCCCCTGGCTCTGTTCTCCTGGGCCCCACCCACTAATAATTTGGATTTTGAGCTGGCATTAATATAATAATATTCCAGCTCCCGTTGACCTTATTTACCCATAATTCATTATTTGTCAATCTTGACCGGGTACCGATGAACGCAGTCCGCCCACGGGTTACCCTCCAAAGAACGGGCAGAGCTCGGGACCGCCCGGAGGGCTCTCCAGACAGCACTGTTGCACTTGAAGCCCGACCCGAACGCGATCTGCCAGACCCGGTCGCCTTTGGCGACCCGGCCTTTCGCCTCGGTGTAGGCTAGCTCGTACCAGAGCGAGCTACTTGAGGTGTTCCCGAACCGGTGCAACGTCATCCTAGACGGCTCCATGTGCCACTCCGTCAGGCTGAGGTTGTTCTGGAGGGCGTCGAGCACCGCCCTTCCGCCAGCGTGGATGCAAAAGTGCTCGAACGCCCTCTTGAAGTCCGGTATGTACGGCTTCACCTTGCTCCTCGTGACGAACTTCCGCTTCACGAGCGTCACGAGGAACTTGAACTGCTCCCTCAGCGGGAGGACGAGCGGGCCCAGGGTCGTTATGTTCGTCTTCAGGGCGTCTCCGGCCACAGCCATGAGCTCCCTAGCCAGAGACACCCCGACGACGCCCTGCTCGTCCTCCTTCTGGTACACGCAGTTGTAGCTGCTGTCGTCCGAGCCCTTGTGGGTCCGGACGGTGTGCACGAGCTCGTACTTGGACCGCCCCTTGTCCTTGCGCTTGTTCGACAGCAGCATGGCGGCCCCGCCCATGCGGAAGATGCAGTTGCAGAGGAGCATGGAGCGGTCGTTCCCGAAGTACCAGTTGAGAGTGATGTTCTCCGTGCTGACGACGACGGCATACGTGTTCGGGTTCGCCTTCAGGAGGTGCTTCGCCAGGTCGACGGATATCAGCCCGGCGGAGCACCCCATGCCGCCGAGGTTGTAGCTGTTCACGTCTTGCCGGAGCTTGTAGTGGTTCACGATCATCGAGGAGAGCGACGGCGTCGGGTTGAAAAGGCTGCAGTTCACTATCAGAATCCCGATCTCCTCCGGTTTGATTCCGGTTTTCTGGAACAGGGAGTCGAGAGCCCCGAACATCACCGCCTCCGCCTCAGCCCGTGCCTCCTTAATGCACAGGTTGGGCGGGGAGGCGGTGATGCCGGAAGGGAGGTAGGTCTCGTCCCCGAGACCGGACCTGTGAGAAATTTTCTTCTGGAACGACACGGTGTCGTCGGAAAACGAACCGTTTTGCTCCGTCATCTTCATGAACCCGTCCACTGATATCTTGCTCTCCTCCTCCGGCTTGTAACAAGCGAAGTCGACCATGTACACCGGTCTGGGCCGCTTGACCCAATAAAGGCCCAGACCAATGACCAGGACCGACAACCCGGTGACCCCGGTCGTGCTGTCCACGACCAGGCCCGGATTCGAGCCAGCGTACATCTCAGAGAACCGGTAGAGCCTCTGGGCGGCGAGCCGGACGAGAGTCACGGCAAAGAACGCCGCCACCGTGACTGCCGCCGCCTGCAGGGCGGCGGCAGCACCAGGGTAGTTGGAGGAGTACCCGTACCCGAGCCTGACGTACTTGAGCTTCACCGACTGAAGAAAGTCTGGCAGGCGGCGGCGGATGCGGATGACGACGGAGGAAGAGTCTTTGAAATCCATCTCCGCCGTCAGCCGCTCCTTCTCCATCTCTATGCTCTCCGCAGCCATGTTCATCAGCTAAAAGAATGAATCTGTATAGCTAGAGTACTTTCAATTGGAAAATATTAATTCAAAAAAAAAAAGAAATAAATTTGGATATATATGTAGTTATATATATGTATGTGTGTGTAGAAAGAATGTGTAAATGTAGTTAAATTCAAAACACACACGAATTGGATTGTGTAGAACAAGGCAAAGACAAAGTTATATATTTATAGATAAATATATATGGTTGAACTACAAAACAAACATTATATTGTTGTATCTTACGGAGGAGTATTTAATTTCAATCAACCAAAGAGTGGGAATTTCTCATTATACGCGCAATATTTATGGAGCCGGCTGTATTATACACATGATAGAAAGTGTGAAATGCTCCGTGGACATTGCGCAGTTGGCAAAGACAAGGAGTGCTAAAAAGATAAGAATCGAGTTCGATTTTTGTCAACTGCATTGAGAGACAACTATACTAAGCATAGAGCTTTGTAAATATCAGATACAGTCTGCAGTCAAAATCTAATTTATCTCCTCTCAGTGACTGTCCGACCGGGTCTGAAGAGGCCCTCGGAGATGGGGCACATTCTTTTTTCATGAAAGAAAATGTCAAGACGCGTGTCTGATAATCGCTGCACGTCGATTGTCGATTGTAGGGATTTTTTTTTTTGTTTTTTTTAAAGAAACGGAGAGGCGAGGCGAACGGGGATAGCATTTTAGGTGTTTTGGGGCGGGACTGAAAAGGTGAATTATGATTATGTGGCACGCAATGGAGCGGGGCAAGCTGATAATGTATTTACATTCTCCTAATAACAAATCAATAAAACTAAATAAATTAAGTGAATAAATGTTCATTTTAATATTGTAAAAATAGTTTTGGAAGAGACAAATTAATTTGAGATGGGAGAGATATAAAAAATATTGCAGGATTTGTGGTGTGTGGAAAGAGACATTTTCCATCTCACAAATATTTGCTTTAATTATACAATTGTGGTGTAGTTGGGGCAGCTTGTTTGGTGGTGTAATGTGAAATTAATAGACTTTCACAACGGTGGGGTACTTTGACAGTTTGACCAACTGGCCATGTGCTAATAATGCCCACTTTTCACCCTCTTATCTAATTTTCACTATTTACCCCCATCCCTTGTTAAAATGTATTAACTCCCTTTTAGTCATTCTGTTCAAAAGTAATGTGTGCATTTATTATTTACATGATTAAATTATACTATTTTTTGTTCTAAATTTGATAATAAATTGAGATTTATGAGATAAAATCTTTCATTTTTAGAAATTATTTTATTTACAAATCGGTATATCGATAAAAATAAAAATTACATATTAAAAAGCTACATCAAAAGTCTATAAAATAAGATGTGGCAAGAATATTTTATTTTATCAAATAATAAATAAAAATGAACAAATAAACAAAAATTATCGAGATGAGAGAAAAAAATTGTAATCAAAATTGGGACAGATGGAGTATTTACTTTGTTAGCTTATTTTTTGTTGCTCATTTCATAAAATAATATATTAATTTAATTGCTGGTTTGTAGATCTTTTGATATAGTTTTTCAATATGTAATTTTTAGGTTTAATTACGCATTTTTTTATATATAAAATGATTAGAAAATAACTTCAGTGAAACATCATAACACGTAATGGGAAACTAATTTTTGGACGGAGAAAGTTATATTCACACCTCCCATTTTCGCACATCATTTATTTGTATATTTTCATTACTTATTCTATAAAATTATAATTTATGTAACTATATTTAATTTATAAAATTTTTAATATAGTTTTTTCTACGAATTATATAAATTTTATATTTTAAATAAACACCAACTATTAAATAAATTGAAAAAAAACAATTTCAATTAAATATTATTATTATCTCGCAGATTTCGAAAATGATTATAAATCTGTTAGAATATAAAAAAAATTACTTGAATTTGCCACTACAATTTTAACTTTTTGATTGAATTGGCTCTTTGAAAATATTATACTTCTTTCATAAAATTATACTCCCTCCGTCCCTAAATATTCACCACATTCCCTTTTTTAGCAGTCACGAGAACTTTTGTTTATTTCGACGTTTTCATTGGTTATTTGATAAAATAAAATATTCTTGACACCTCTTATTTCGAAAAACTTTTCATGCATGTAGTTTTTTTATATGTAAATTTTATTTTTTATTTCTATACCAATATGTGAATAAAATGAATTGAAAAAACTTGATATTTTGCCTCGAAAATACAAATGTGGCAAATAATTTGGGACGCAGGGAGTAATAATTAATTTAATAATATTTTGGCCAATTTTATAATTTGTACTACTTTTGTCTAATACCTCATGATCCATGTTGGTTTTTTGGTTCAATTTCCAATAAAAATATATACAAAAACTATCAAGTCTTGCAAAACGTGCATTTCTTTTAAAATGGAAAGGATGATGTATTCATTTTGAGACACTTGCATACATGAGCAACATTTGCTATTGTACTATATTTTGCCTAGAACCCATTTTCAAACATTGCAAAGTTTTCAATGTGGGTCATATATTGTTGTCGATCTCTTCGTTTGGGAACATCGTTAGAGATTACGATTATCGTTTTAAAAAAATTATTTAATATCAACGATTAACTTTAAGGCAAATAATTTTAAAAATGAAAAAGACCTAAATATGACTAAAACATAATGATTTTCTCAATATAGGACCGTATGTTTTTGTTTTTCAATGTAGGATCATTGGTCATTATACATTAGTCATTATTTAAGTAAATGTCCAACACCACTGGACATTATTTCTTCCACTACACATTATTAAGTCATATTTAGAGAAAAAAAATTAAGTCTTACATTGGAAAATGAATTATGTTTTAATTCTATTTAGTGCAAATTTTACTAATGTGTTAATTGAAAATGTTTTTTTAAACAAGACTAGTGTGTGGCTAATAGATTTTCTCTTTTCTTTCACATGCACCACATTTTCTTTTTTCTTCATTTCTGAAAAAATAACTCAAAAACTTAACATTTTAGAAGCATATATAGCCTATTAGATTACATGAGTCAATAAATTCACAGACATTTATCATCAATAATAATGTCAAAGGTGAAAATATAAAAGTGTAGCATCGGTATTACCGTCCTAATTTAATTTTTAAGGTTATTTTGACTTTAAATTAAACATAGTTTTGAATAAATAAATTTTATAAAAGTTTGATATCACAACTACATTTTAAAATTAACTGAATATATATTAATTTTTTTATACAAAAAAAAATGACGTTTTAACAAAAGTGATTATCTACCTCAGCTCCTAAGGCCCTCAAGATCGGCTAGACAATAACATAGAAGAAAATAAATAACGGGAAAAATATCAAAATATGAGTAAAACATAGATAAACTATAAAAACAAGAGTTCCATATTTTTATCCTCAAAATTGAAAGAGTAAGTTCCATAATTGGTCCTTTATAATAGGGGGTTTCTCTATTTAGTCATCTTTTATCAAATACTACCTCAGTGGTCCTTCTTTTATGGGTATCTTTCCACAAATAGTCCTTTTTTTGAGCTTCTATCATGTTGGAGTTAATTTGAGGACTAAAAGTGTAATTTCACAATGAGAATATAGTTTTTTTGTCATACACAATTTCAAAATTTGTTCCGTTTGCGTCGTTTGTGAATTACATTCGCTTTCTACTACAACCATAGTCTACAAATGTGGTCTTCCGTCGGAATCCTAGCCAAAAATCATAGTCATTATTTTTGTGTTATTCGCTTCATCAATATCATAACACGTCACTAGACATGATGTTGATGTCAAATTATACTTTTAGCCTTTAAATTAACACCCACATGGTGGAAGATTAAAAAAAGGACCATTTGTGGAAAGGCACCCTTAAAAAAGGACTACGAGGGTAATATTTGATAATTAAGGACTAAATATGGAAACCCCCCTGTTATAAAGGACTAATTATAGAATTTACTCAAATTGAAAATATAATGTCAATAGAGTCAACATATAATATGATACGAATATCGTATCGGATAGGGAAGAACTTCGAGCGTCTTCGGGCTCCAAGAAAGGGGAGGCAAAGAGAGAAGGAAAACTTCGAACGTTTCCGAGCTCCAAAAAAAGAGAGAAGAGAGATTAAGAGAATTCTTGATTATTGATTGATTGAATAATAATAACGAAGAGGTTACAATATATAAAGAACGCAGATAACCCTAATTGACCTGATGGGCTCGGGCCCATACTAAAACCCTAAACTAGATTAAATATAAAATATTAATAAAGACTACTAATTAATAAATAATATAACTAATCTATTATCATATCATTCTCGCCCCCTTAAAAACCACCTTGTCCTCAAGGTGGAGGTTCCCACACAAGCTTTTGGACATGTGAGAACGTGCCGACCAATCTTCAAGAAGCTTCTCATATGGCATTCATAGCATTGATCTAGACAGTCAGTTTTCGGATTTATTTAATTTTACTTTTTAAATTATTTTAAAAAAAGGGAGAAGATGGGAGGACCCAACCAAAGGTCATTGAAATGAAAAAAGAGGGAAAGATCCAGTCGAATCCCCTCGAAAAAACCTAAAACTAAAACGAATAGTCATGTCATCTCTAGTTTTGTAGATCTTTTGATATAGTTTTTTAATATGTAATTTTTAATTTTAAATTTTACACTATTTTTCATATAAACTGATTTAAAAATAACTTTAGTCTAACATCGTAACGCGCAACATGAAGTTTATTTATGGACGGAGGGAATATATAAAGACTAAATATTAAATCGGGTCCTTTATTACCGAGACTGAACTTAATTAGTACATTTTTTCATTTACTATTCAACCATAATTATTTTTGATCTAAAAAAAAGTATCCCAATAATGACATTGGCACCTACGGTCCTCCGTTGCTAAAATTAATGGTTTATATCTCTTCCTGAACCTCCTACGCCACCCTCACCACAAGCCCTCGTCCCTCATATTGCCAGGGAGCGAGGGAGCAGGCCGGGGCAAGGTAGGACAGTTTAGAAGGGGATTATGGATTTATGGTAGAGGTACCAACTAGAAATTTTACCAACTAAACACTATAAATGTCCCAAAATACCCTTAGGCTCTGTTTGATACATGGAATTGACGGAATTGGAAGTTGAAATTCTACGGAATTGATTTGGATGGAATTGAGTTCTCCAATTCCAATTCATTTTTGGCACTACCAATTCTAAATTCACGTATGTTTGTGCAATCAAACAGTAAAATTGGAATTATTATCCTCCATTCTAATTCCGCAATTTGAATTATATATACCAAACGGAGCCTTATTATTTTCGGATTAATCTTTTCTAAAATAAAATAATAAAAAAAAACTTTACCTTGACCAATAAGAAGAGTAGAAATAATATAGAGGAGAGTAAATACAGGTGAGTGGCCCATCAACAAAAAATAAATGTGATGAGCTAAGGTCAGTGAGGCCGGCAGACTGATTCCTTCAGTACAGGTCAACGCCCAAAGCGTGTCCACACCCAAACCCATCTTCTAGTAATTCCCAATCATTTGGAGATTTTTCTTCACTCTTTTTTTTACATCCTCTATTTTATTAATTATTTTGTTTATTTTTCGTGTCAAATATTTGATTAATATTTATTTCTTTTGCTTTAAAAATATTGTTTCAGTTATTATTGTAGCATCTCGATAATTTATATACGGCTTATACACAATGAAGTAACTAACATTGACCCATTTGTATTGATTTACCGATTCCCATTCTTTTTCATATTCCATTAGTGATGCTCTTAGAGAGAGGTTAAGATGTTAAATGCATCATAGAAGCATTCCAAAAAATAATGTTTTGTTTCTTATTTCTTCTTTTCCAAAAAAAAAGAAAATTTGTATGCCGAAATATTTTTTCTTCTAAATAGATACCCCTTCCGTCCCTAAAAGATCTTCTCCTTTCATTTTTTTGTTATCTCTAAAATATGTTTCTTTATCTATTAAAAATCACTTTTACCCCTTACTTTTTTATACCCTACCTATCACATCATACCCTTTTAGTAATAATCCACACATCACATCTTACTTCTACCCATTATATCAAGAGTATGTTTGGAAAGTCAATACAAAAATATCCCTCCATTAAATCTTCAAAAAGTCAATAACGGAAGATGTTTCAGGGACGGATGAAGTATATTTTTACTTTTAAATACTCCCTCCGTTCCACAAAACCCTTCCTCTTTCGTTTTTTTTTGCTTTCCACAAAACACTTTCACTTTCTATTAAAAAACCACTTTTACCCCTACTTTTTCATACCCTACCTATCACATCATATTTTTTCACTAATAACCAAACTATCACATCTTACTTTTTCCCATCACATCAGGGGCAAAATTGGAAAGTCAACCAAAATTACACTTTCCTTATTTTTCCCCAAAGTCAAAACCGGAAGAATTTTGCGGAACGGAGGGAGTATGTTTTAAAAATTTTTGCAAATTCAAAATCAAAGTGAGAAGTATTTTTAGGGACACAGAGTAAATTTCGGATTATATTTTATTTCTAACTCGACATTTCTACATGAAGCTTTTTACATTGCTTCATTAATTATTACACAAAATAATATACTTATATCACTTCTCGTATGATGAATTTTTTATATGACTTCTAAATATCTAAATTTTATTTTTTGATTTTATATAAATATTTAAATAGGTTGAATTAATAAATTTTTAAAACAAATATCATAATTTGAAGCGAAAAAATTAAACTGGGACTAATGGACTGACGAACATATACTCCCTCCAATTTGGAAAACTTTTCCGGCTATAAGTTAAAATATTTGTCTGAAGTTATTTTTAATAAATTTTATGTTAAAAAGAGTAAAACATAAAGCTAAAATTTATACAAAACTATAAATACGGGGAATCAATAGTGAAAACGAGTACTTCCTCCGTCCCGTAAAATATTTCTTGCTTTGACTTTTGAAATGACAAGTTATAGAAGTTTGAGTAAGATGAAACGACAACAATTGAAACAAGTAGTGCTCGAAAAATGTAAACGTAACATTATATTGGTAGGATGTAAAAGGTAGTTAGAGTAGGTTTAGTTAGATTTAAGAAAAATAAAGAAAATTATGACTATTTAGGCCAAATTAAAAAATTTCATAAAACATGTAAGATAAAAAAGTTAAAAAATTTTAGGACTGAAGAATTAAATGATTGTTGTATTATTGTACCCGCCTTAGGGATATATGGTCACAGCGGAGGAAGACTATAGCAAGACAGATGGTCCCCATTTACTCCAAAATTGATTATTCACTTGCCCTTTTTGTACTTTTGTGGTATTTGTTGGGCTATATTCATTTAACATTGAGAATTAAATGTCATGTGACGATACATATTATGAAATACAGAGCATCTATAATGTTTGGTTTGTATAATTCATGATTCTTATCGGGTTAATTCTCCTCATGTTGCCTACCTCCTCAATCTTTTAACGGTGTGTGTAACAAACCCGTTTGATATACGGGTAAAAATATCTTTTTTTCATGTTTTTGAACTTGGATGGGTAATATTACCCTTTAGCACTTCACATACATTTGGAAAGGAAATAGAAAAGGAAAAATATAACAAATTTGTGGAGTTTCTAATTATTATGATTCATTCAAATATTTTAAGAAATCATTCTAAATAGAAGTAAAACATAGAGAAAATGCAATAAATATGAGCCCCATATTTTTATCTCCAAAATAAGAGTTAACGCTGTAGTAATATGACATTGTTTATGAATAACTCACAGTTGCTTCATGATTGGTACTGTAAATACATTTTAACTCTTATTTCAAGAATAAAAATATAAAACTCTTATTTTATTTTTAATATTTTACTTCTACTTTTATCTTTTTTACCAAATATTTTTCAAATCAAATTATAAAGAATATGGGTTAAAATATATACTCCTAAATGATAGGAGGGTGAGGTGGCCGGATTGGTGGAAAGTATATATAGGAGGAGGCCGGCATTTCATTCATTTGTGGCCGGCCGGCCGGGCATTAAAGTGCATGCAAACTGTTAACTTGTACGTGCGCTTATACACACACTATTTATTCACGTTGCATGCATTCAAATTTAATATTTTAAGTCAAACTAGATGAATTTTACATTAAAGTTATATGCATATTCATTTATAATAATATGATGAAATGATTCCTTCAAAAAAATATTTAAAAACAATGATTTTTTTCCCCGCGTGATAGTTCTATTAGAATTATAATTGCATTAGTATATATTCGATACATTTACTCTTGTCGTTGCAAAACGTTTTACATTTTACGTAATTAAACTGGGTGCAACGTTTTGAAATTACGGGAACTTTAAAAATCAATTTTGAAAACAAGGATGTGCTAGTACCTATTTTTCAAACCACGGGAGGTATTGATGTTATTTGGCCTAATATCTAATACGAGTACGAAGTACTCCTAACAAAATATGTCAATGGGACCATGACTATAATTTTCTTCACGAAAAATAATAAAATGAAAGTATCAATAGTTGAATACTAAACAAAGTAATTGGATATTTAATAAAGTAATTGAATTTTGAAAAAAAGCTTCTAAAAGACACCTTTCCTAATAAATAATCAATCAAATAAGGGAAAAGAAATTAATACGGAGAATATCAATTTATCATCAACAACAAACTAAAATTTTTAAAATCCGAAAAAAAATGTACGAGGTATATATTACGCGGTAATATGTAAATTGTACGGAGTAAACCAAAATTACTCAAAATATGATTAAAAAACGGAAAAAGTACCAAACTAAGAGCTCCATGTTTTTATTCACAAAGTATAAGCTTGCACTGTAATAATATGATACTGTACATGGACATTTTACGATACTTTTTGGCATTGTACATTAGCATAATTGGCATTGTATATGCATTTTAACTTCTATTTTGAATATAAAAACATAAAACTCATATTTTAAAGTATTTTTTTTATATTTTACACTCACTTTAGTCTTTTTTCCTTCAAACATACAGTACCTCACAATGAGGCAGGGCTTGGTGCAAATGTAGTAAAACCGACGTGGGAGTTCGGTGTGTGGGCAAGCCGGAGGCATCACCGGCGTCGCCAAATTGATATTATTGGGCAGCCGCTGGCGTTTGGGCACTTTGCTCGAGCATTCGTATTGCTGGTTTATGGCAGTACTTCACCGGAGTTAACATGTGAGTAATAAAATGAAGTGATTCATTCGGGATGAACGAAGTATTTCGATCTTCAAAAGGAAAAAAAAACGAAAAACATGAAATTTATTTTGGAACTATATGTGAAAACTCCAATTTTAGGAATTCACTCAAATATCAAATACACACAGTTGTACAGAATATACACTCAAACTTGCACATAGTATATAGTACATGATAGATTACATTGAAAATCAAAGTTACAAATGGGACCAAGAGACATCTTTATCTCCATGTCAAGTGGAGAACATATTTCAATGGATCTTAATAAGCTAAGGCGTCTCTTTGGCATCAACTTCACCGTTTGGTTCACCATTTTCAAAAAGATTGTGTAACGGTAGCGTTGAGCCTTAATAGTTTTCGAAGTTAGTTAATCTGCATCATTAAAGGATTAACAAAAAGGTTAATGATGATCGTAAGCGTTGTTCCCAAACAGAGGACCAATTGAGCTTCTTATGCATACGCTACTCTCCGACATCTGAACGCGCGGGGAACTCCAAGCCATGCAATGCCGGGATGCCCTCAAAGTCTTTCTTTGAGAACATAGGGAAAAACCACAATGCTTTGGTACTCCCGAAAACCTTGTAAGTTAAAAGAAAACGAAAAATAAAACGAACCGACCAGGCGTTGGTTGAGGGAGGAGTATCACAACATTAGTTACGACACACATTGGAAAAAAAATTATTGAGTAAATTTCATAAATGGTCCTTATTTACATGTGGTTTTCTATATTTAGTCCCTAATTCTAAGATATTGCATAAATGGTCCTTATTTACATGTGGTTTTCTATATCTAGTCCCTAATTCTAAGATACTCCATAATCAATTGTCCTGGGACTATATTTGGAAAAAATATTGTCATATTTAGCCTAAAACACTATTTATGGAATACTTTTTCAAAAATTGAACGACCATTTATGCAATATCTTAGAATTGGGACTAAATATAGAAAACCACTTGTAATTAGGGATCATTTATGGAATTTACTATAATTTATTTGCTTTCAGGGGGGGACACATAGAAGAGAAGAATAAGGATTATGTTTGGTTCACCTGCTCAAAGTTGTTTCTCCATCCGAGGTCGTACCTCCATCTCACACTCCTTTTCTTCTCGTAAACCTGAAACATGAACAAACCACATAGTAAATGTTTACTATGATCATAGAAGAGAACTTGCAATAAATGTTTTAAACACCGAACTTTAGCGCTTTCACCGGTCATCAAACTTAAACTAGTGATTGTTAAACATATGCTCGTATTTTACTTAGCGGTTCGGATGAAAATATAATTACTAAATACACTGCTAAGAACAATGCATTACTACAATGATAGGCAATTTTGAGATACTCCATCCGTTCAAAAAAAACTTTACTGACTCTCTTTTTGGACATTCCAAAAAGTACGTTTCCTTTTTAGCAATAAACATGTGGCTCCCAAAATTTCTCTCAATTAAACCAAGATAATTCTAGGAAAACATTAAACAAACCTCCACTGACGTGGTGTTGCTAGAGACAAGAGATGCATGCATAACAACGAAACAAAGAAGGCTGAGTGCAAATGCCAGATTCAAAACTGCACCAAAGCAAAATCTGTAAGAATTATGGAAATAATAATGAGAAACACAAACACACACTGAATAACTACAGATATGGCGAGTAATGTTTACCACACGCTAGAAAGACGATAGCAACGTTGGTTGGTGAGAGAGAACGGTGTTTGGATTCTTTGAACAGCTCTATAAAATACGGCAGCAGCACCAAAGTATCCAAGGTTGTCTCCAAAAAGGTGTAAATCTATGCATGGCATTTCAAAAAAATATTAGCACAGAAAACAACAAACCCCTGGAAAAGTAGGGTATGGGGAGGTTGTGTCTACATAGTTTGAGCTTCAAAAGCATAGACAATGACAATGAAGGAGATCGAGTGTTTAGTTGAATCTTAATATTCTTAAAGGAAAAGACTTTCATAACATCTATTTCAGCCAAACAAGTCAAAAGCTACTTATTTTACAATTGGGTAGAATAAGCCATAATTGGCTACCCAAACTGAGCACATTGGTTAGGCGTGCGTCTAATGATCTAACCTTCCACATTTTATACAAAAAATGGGGAGGTGAAAACCTTCGTTACGAATTTGCCTCAGATAAGCCATTCAAGGTAGTGTACTGATAGAATATTCAAACAATAAAAAAACTCTAATTCACCATATTTATGGAAATAAGCAAATCGTGAGAAAGTATATGTTTTCATAATAAATTCATTTTTATGTGAGAGCGGCATCTAACCACAAAGAGAAGAAAAAACTTGTAATTCCGAGCCCCAACACAATTTACAACCCATAAGCAATGGTGATCCATCTTGAGAACACATCTTTGGCCTGCAAGAGACATAAAACATAGTTTTTGTTGTCTTAGAGACTATATTTGGAACTCAAAAAATGGTAGAGGAATGAAAAAAATGCTCGAGGTAAATTGTTTTTTTTGTTTAGTTTTATCTTGTAAAATACAGAGAACCAATTTTGATCATCGCGTTCTAAAATCTTACATATATTACGATTTCATTATTTATACTCCCTCCGTCCCAAATTGGATTACAGTTTCCCATTTACAAGGCAAACCACCGCATTTTTAAAAATTAATTTATTTAAAAATGGTATACGAATAATTAATAAAATTTACATATTTAAAAATTACGTCAAAAGTTCTACAAAACAAGAGGGGACAAGAATATTTAATTTTATCAAATAATCAATGAAAATACACAAACAAACAAAAGTTATCGAGAGGTAGGTCCCAAAAAAATTGTAATCCAATATAATTTGGGATAGAGGAAGTATTATACTCCTTAGTGTCCTTACGACTGGATTTAGTTGTTCACCTTTCCTCTTTGGGATATCCATGATTAGTTCTATGGTTACAATATTTGGAGAAAAAGATTACATGAATTAACCAACATACCCCAGAGAGGAAAATTACCCATCAGACTTCTAGATTTGTCATTTTATAACAATTCTTAAATTCGAGGTATTTCAAAAAGTGGACAACTAAATTTGGACAGAGGGAGAGCATAGATCTATAAATAAAACGAACTTGAAGACTTTGAACAAATATCTACAAGATATTTATTGACTTTCAACAAGTATCTCTTTGTGGGAGCCAGAAGTCTCTTGGAAACATCTTCTCTACTTCTAAGTAAGGTATAACATACCGGCGATTGTCCCTTAACTGAAAACAGTAGAAAGCCAATGCTAACTACTCCATACCGGTGGTTTTTAGCCCTTTACCGGCAGAATTTTCCACGCAAATACCCAGCATTCTTGTAGTGGAAAGGTCTGCTTCCACACCCTCCCCATAACTACAATTTGTGGAATTTTACTAGGTTTGTTGTTGTTATTGTTGTTGAGTTTGATATGGACCCTAAGGCACACAAGCCAACTAAAACCTCGTGTTCTAGAGACAACAAACAGTCATGAAAATGCCAAATGCAGATAATGAGTGGTAAAGTGAGCATACAAACAGAGCAGTGATGGCAGCGAGGCGGCTTGCCGTTTTGACAATGCCTGCAAAAACCCACCTCCTGTCTTCTTTCCCCCGTTCCCGAATTCTCGGGTCCGTCATTATCAGGCAATGTCACCAAAATACCCTCCTCTACATTCAGCTCGGGCGATACTTTCCAATTGTCTGGAACGGAGCCAGGATCCTGAAGGACTGCCCTGAGGTAGCTCCATGAGAGCAAAACAAGCTGCACCGTGAGAAAAAACTCAGAGAAGGGCTATAAAATCAAGTTATTTTGAATAAGCATTTTCTTAGGGGGGTGTATTCAATCTAGACTCTATAGGATTTTATTGGATTTAAAATGTTAGTAGGTATTCAATTGAGATTTTAAAAAGTTACTTAAAATATGAAGGTATTCAATTTAGATTTTAAAATGTCTACTGAAATCTGATGGTATTAAACAATTCATAGATTTTGAAAGATTTTTATTATAGATGGATTTTGATGGATTTGGCTGTTGTTTTTCTCTGCAAAAATCTTCTCACAAATCTCTTGTAACAACAGAGGATTTTAACAGACTTTGCTCATCCCTTCGCCTTTTCGCTACGACCTTGGCCTTTGAAGGGATTTTCATCCCTCTTCAACACCTCTTGAATTGCTTGGACAAATCGGAAGCATAGGCAACGGAGGATTGTGGCGCCGGCCTAGGGTTTTGACCCTTCTCCTGGCCGGCGGCCGCTCTTGCACGCCCTCACGACGGGGACAGAGCGGACTCGCTACGACTCGGCGCTAGCGCTTTACCATCTGATACAGAGCAATCAGTCGAAACAGATAAAGATGGGAGCTGCTGCGGCGCCGGTGGGAATGCGGAACGGGGGCGAATTGGCCGGTATAGTGGTTCTGGTGGTGTCTAATTTGGCGGTGTGTGCCGAGGGTAAGGCAGCTCTGTTGGACGCCCAAGCGGTGGAGACGGTGGTGGGGTGGCTGAGGCACGACAACGAGTTGGATGACGCCACGCAGGAGAATTCTCTGTATTCAATGACTCAGGGGTGTTTGAAGTTCAAGGGAATGGCCTGAAACGCCATACCGGCCAATATAGCTTGGGATCTGACAGTGCATACCTGCCGGACATAAAATTTTGGCAATCTTGAAGCAAGTGTGTTTAATGGAAGGGACTTCAAATTTTCAATGGATAGATTTTTCCAATTTTGGTCAATTCAGTAGTTTGTGGTGGGGTAGAAGATGAAGATCTTTGGAAACTTTTTCTCAGCAAAAAGAGCCGAGCTCCGGGTGCAGCGACTGAAGGGATCTAATTTGGGAAAAGTTTTTTTAAACAAATCAAACAAAATCTTTTAAAAATCTGTCAATAAAATACGTCACAATCTATTCAATTCTGTGTAGAATAAAAACAATCCATAGATTTTACACAATTCATGTATTTTAAAAAATCTTTTAAAATCCAAATTGAATACACCCCCTTAGTTTCTATTAATAGTTTCTTAGTTTCTATTACTTGAAATCTATATGGGAATTTTATAAAATCAAGTTATTGGATCGATATTACATACACAGATTCAAGCTAATGAAACCCCCAAACCAATAATCGAAAACCTGTAGCAGGTGAAGATACTTACGAGGATATGGAAAACGATGAGAATTGGGAAGGATGCGAGGGATCGAAAGCCGCCGGCGAGGAGGCGAGGGCCCCAGGTGACGACGACGACGGCGTAGTAGGAGACGGCTACGACGGCTATAACGACGACGACCATGAAATAGCCGAGGAATCGGAGGCCGGAGCATAGCCGGAAGGGGTTCATGTCGATCGGAGATGGGCCGGATTGCACCCGGACCGGACCGTGTTGAGGCAAGGCCAACCAGTTCGGCCTCCTGGATCGAGCTGTAAACAAGCGTTTGCAGATGTCCGACGCCAGCTTGGTGGGTGCCGGCGGCGGTCGTTGGTGGTGAGGAGATAAAAGGGAAGCCTTTCGTGCTCACAAGTCATACCAATCATGCCACTTTGGGTTTGGTATATTTTACTTAGTTTAAGTTTAATTTTTTTTTTAAATAAAAAAAAACTCAACAAATTTTAATTGTCAATGGCACGAAATTTGTATTGCTTATTAATATAATAATACGGAATATAAATTTTAATTAATTAAAGTACATATATTCTAAAAACTATATCTCAAATTATACACCACATGTAGGCACATTCTTTTTATATCAGTGTAAAACCAATGTGATAGTTTATATATGCACAAAATATTAGTGCAAGTTTTTTTGATCGTACTAGCATATTATACTAGTATGAATCATCGAAATATTAGTGCATAACTTTATAGCAAACATAGGAGTACATTCCTTGGAATACCCCTAGCATAGTTAAATTTTAATATAGTAGTTCTTTACAAATTTGGTTTGGATGATATGACTTCAAGAAATGTACTCCCTTCATCTTAAAATATTTTTCTCGTTTCAAATTACGATTTTTGAATAAAATTATTTTTAATTGATCAAAAATATAAAATTAAAGAATAAAATTTATATATTTAAAGACTATATCTAAAATTTTACAAAATAAGAGATGACATGACTATTGTTGAATTGTTCATCCCACATCGGCAATGCAGTCTAATATTATCTTGCTATTTAATAGCTTGGGTACCTCAATCGTTAACTTTTGAGATTCAATATTATTTTATGTAATTTAATATTCAATTTTAGAGTTAACAATTTAAGAAATTTGAATTGGGCTACCCGAGAAGTGGATTCTAAAAAACTAGAGCAACCCCTTTGAAATTGAAACTTAAAATATTCGACCCAATTCAGAGTCTCATTACTCATTTGGGCACACTTGCCTTTCTTGCCTCCCCATAGGTTCAACCACGAGGTTCCGGGCCCAAAAATGGGCAAGCACGAAGCTCGGACACATAGTACCCGAAACCGTGTTCCGCCTACCATGGAATCCATGGGCCTCGACCCATACGAGCCCAATTTATATGGGCTTAAGATGTGTGCCCCATATGTTCATCACTTTATACAATTGTCTATAAGGAAATCATTTTTAATCCCATGACATAGATCCCTGACATTGGGAACAATGTCATGACCCATGGGATGGCCCGAAAGTCCTACGATATTTCGTTCAAAAAATTAATGGTTTTTATCCCCTAAACCCTCCCGGTAAACCCCTTTACCCGGGGCTAAACCCACACTCCTCCTCCTACAATCTAACCCTCAAAAGTTTATTGGTTTTGGAGTCAAAATTTGGGCCGGGGTGGGGGTTTACCGGGGGATGGGGGAGTTAAGGGAGGTATGAACCGTCAATTTTTCGTAGGCTTCCCGAGTCATCCCATGACATTGCTAAGAACCACCCCTAAGGAAATGGGGTGATTTATTTATCAAGAGTATAATATTTATATTTACATTTATATAAATGGAACCATTTACACGAGTGAAGAAAACTGCACACTATAGCACTGTAAAGAACATATTTTAACCCATTTTTTCAAACTATATTTACAGTCCCAGACTCACAATGATTTCACTCTTCTTCAACCCAGCTTTCTGATTCCCAACTTTACCATCTCTTTCAACAAGGGTCTTCCTTATAACTGCGTTGAGGAAGTTCATGACATGAACTGCGTGAATCAGAGCCACCAATGGATCAGCCACCTGCATCCCCAAACAAAACTACTTGCTGCTTTAATTACACAGGACACAGTAAACTAGCACAGTAAAAAACCAGAGGAGTCCTTTTCCATGGCAAGGGTTTGAGGTAAAATTTGATGGTAATTATTAGTCTTTTGAATGTATGTGTGTGTATGTATATAGGAGATATGAGTTTTGATATCTCCAGAACCCTTTTGTGGGTGTTTGCCGATTTGGCAAAGCCTAAACATGATTCGGATTCCATATTTCCTCGTATCACAACGCTCTGAAATGAGGGTGTTTTGATACATCACGATTATGGGAGATATCAATCCGGAGGTTGTGATATCTCCCACAATCACTGGGCACCACCGCTGGCCACCCCGCCAGCATCTACCCCACTAGTCACTAAGAGGCATCATTTTATATATCTCCAAACACTTTCATTATAGATTTTATAACCTATATCATTTTTCCCGATTTGAAAAACGATATCATAACAGCTCTAATTCATTCACCAATGACCTAAATAGTGTGCATGCATGTGGTAGAGGTGGGGGGGGTTTAAATTCTTAGTCTTAGTAGGGGTGAGCATGGTACGATAGTTAACCCACACCGATACCGTACCAAATATTTCAGTTCGGTATGAGATTTTACATCGGGGAAATTTTAGTTTGGTATTATTCGGCATGGTTCGGTATAGACGCACTCACAATTTCACAAAGGGTATTCTAGTCATATATGATCATTATAATATTTTTGCATTCATTAGGAATATATTAAGTATTACTCCTAAAGCCTGCACGCACTATTGCACTAAAGTATAGTGCTGATTCTAAAGTATAGCTGTGGATTAGGAAAGAAGACAATGACTAACCATGGAGATCATCAAAAGCACAAAGTACTTTACCTTGGTCATGTTTGGGGCAAAAACCATGGCAATATTTCTAGCATTCATCTTGTTGTAACGCTCTTGCTCCACCACATCTGCCATCAAATTCACCACCCAGTCAAACAGTGCAGCTTCGGTGGGAGGAAGCAGACCAACAAGTCGTGCATAGTCTTCTTCGGTGTTGCACTGTATCACCTGTTCTGGGGAAAGAGAATCAAGAACCCCACTCGGCAGCTCCCTTAGCCACGCCTGAAAGCCATACAAAACAGATATTGGTCTTTGTCGAAAACCACCTTTTATGTGTAAATGATAGAAACTCATGAAGTCTTACAAACTAGATTCTTTTAGGAAGGTTCTATCCGAACCTTTGAAAAAAAGTTTGATTGGAGTAGTAGTTCAAAGTGGCTTAATATGGTCATGTAATAAGCGCGGGGTGGCTTGATAAGCTATAATATTATACTTCCTCCGTCCCAAAAAGAGAAGGACATATTGACTAAAGTGGTAAAATAAGGGAGGGATAATTTTGTGTTGACTTTCCAAAAATACCCTTGATGTGATGGGTAAAAGTAGGATGTGATGTGTAGATTATTAATAAAAAAGGTATGATGTAATAGGTAGGGTATGGAAAAAGTAAGGGATAAAAGTGGTTTTTTAATAGAAATATGAAGGAGATTGTGGGACACCATTTTTTTGAAACGTGGAGGAGTTTTTGGGACGGAGGGAGTATTAAAAAATTAAGATCTGAAGTTCACCCTAAAAGTACAAGGTGATATGAAAAATAGTTCAAAGCTTTTGGTTTGTATTTCTGTCTTTGATGTGGAATGGCTTTAAACTGATGTGACAAGCTAACAACAACAACAACAACAACATCCCAGTTGAATCCCACTACAGTAGGGTCTGGGGAGGGTGTGTGTACGCAGACCTTGCCCCTACTCGGAAGTAGGGAGGCTGTTTCCAAGAGACCCCCGGCTCAACCTGCACAAAGTTATGGAAGGGAACATAGTATAGTACGGGTAAAGCACCAAGTACAAGCAACAAGTACAAGCAATAGCAAAAGATTCCAAACAAACACAACACACTATAAACAACCTCTACAGCACCGAGCTCCTATCCAGCTACTCTAATCCTAGTTCTCCAAAGGTTCCTATCTCAGGCCATATCCTCAGTCAAGGTGAGAAGTCCTAAATCCTGCCTAATCACATCCTTCCAATTCTTCCTAGGTCTACCCGTTCCCCTACTTCCCCCGATAATCGTAATCCTCTCGCATCTCCGTACAGGGGCGTTAGCATCCCGCCGTCTCACATGGCCAAACCATCTCAACCTCGCTTCCCGCAACTTATCTTCCACCGGTGCCATGCCTACCTGATGTCGGATAACTTCATTCGAAATCCTATCCAACCTTGTCTTTCCACACATCCATCTTAACATCCGCATCTCCGCTGCATGCAGACGACGCACATGAGTTTTCTTAACCGCCCAACACTCTGCACCATATAACATAGCTGGTCTGACTACGGATCGATAGAACTTACCTTTCATCCTGGGCGAGATCTTCGGATCACACAACACCCCTGAAGCTAACCGCCATTTTGACCAAGCCACTCCAACACGGTGTAACATTATAACATTAACACCAAAGATATTCAAGACTAGCAGAATTTCAGACTTTGCAGATTTTTTTTTGGGTCAATGTTCGCCTTATTGCACGACTTAAGAAACCACGTTGGTTCCTCAAAAAAAACCATGTTGGGGTTAATTTTGGCATTGCTTGGATTGATTTAGTGGGCAGAGTTGAATTACTAGGAGTGACATTCTTGGTAAGTGAACGACTACATACTGGATATAGGCACATTTAGCATAATAGGAATTGACTCATGATATGATAAATCAAGAATTCCAATACCAAATGTTAGCATATGATCCGATTCCCTGAAATTCCACCGGGGAATAAGTGCCTATTGAAATGACTCCTAAGATGAATGAGAGAAGAGAGTACCTTGATCAATCCAGCCAAGCAATGGACGTCGATCCCATATGGAACAACTCCTCGGTTCAGCATATATCTAACACATTTTTCTTCATTATTCTCAGCATTTATTCTGAATATTCCTTCTACCTTCAATCAAATCATGCCAAAACAATGAATGAGCATCCATGAAAAGCCAAGTTTAGATTTCACCACAAGAAAAAAAAGGTAAAAAGATAAAAACAGCACACCCGAAGTCCTCCATTCGAATACAGGCGACTCTGCATCTTAAGAAGAATAGTAGGCACGCTGTTTCCTCTATAATCATAAGAGCACTGCATTGACTGTGCAGAAACTCCAAATACACTCATACTGCAAGTCATAAACAGCAGAAATGAGGCAAGCCCTGTTTTTGAATCAGGATTCAACTGAATGAACTTTCAGCCATCATTGAAAGCACCTAGATGGAAAGTAGACTGAGACCAAACTCTTAAGACTGGCCCTGAACGAATTTTGAAAACAAATAAACGCTACTAGCCGAGTCTAGTAGGATTGTTAGAGCAGTCAACTAGTAGTAGGTTGGGAGCATGGAATCCAAAGCTTTGATAAAGTGTGCCATTAGTGGACAAGAGATTTCAAGGAGTTAGACACATAACTGTAAAGAATACACAACTCCTTCAGCGAGCTCCATAACTTGTTTGTAATCATAATCACCATTCATCTTCATAGTGGGTCACACCCATTATAAAAATATATGGTGATGATAATGCCAACCAAATGAATGCCCAATCTGGATTGCGTTTGAGATATAAAAACTCATTTTGGCTCTGTGACACTCCTACATAAATTTTAATTTAGTTAATCACTATAATGCCACAATCAGTAAAAATGACTCTATGCTTAGCAGTTTAGACAATTGAGTTTGAGGCACAATATTTTTCCAAGTTTGGCATTTTAAATTAGACTCAAACACTTCTTTTCCGACCTCAATATCAAACACACTGTTTATCTTGAAATCCATTTCCAGGTGACTTTTTCAATAGGTGACTAGTTCAACCACACGCCCTCTTCCCAAGATTAGGTCTAAGGCATCATGCTCCCTCCATGGAAGACCCCTATCTTATAGAACCAGGTTGCTTGAGTGATCACCCTTCATTTCTATGGTAATCATATAAGCCATTTGGCGTTTTGGCTTCAAAAAGGGAGCCGTGTTGGCTCCTTATAAATCTCAGTAATCATCTAGTTTAAAAAGTGATCTCTGTTAGACCGAGAAATTACCAGATCCCAAAAGCTCATCAGCGATAAGCAAGCATTAACAAAGTAACTGTGAATACTGAATACCACTGCACAACTTGCAGAAATATTAATAATGGAGTAAACCTGGCGCTGGGGACTTTGCATGGGACGTGGGGCCGGAGCTCATCCGGCAATCCGAGAAATCCATCGAATCGATCGAAGGTGACGTGAGAGAGGTGCCGAACGTCGACAGGCAATCCGATGTCCATGTTGTCCGCCACATCGTCCCTCTCGACTGTGCTGCAACTCACCAGCGACTTCCTCAGCGCCGCCACCAGCGCCGTCAGTAACGGTTGCGCCGCATCCTGACCCCTATTCTTGCGCCGAAACGGCGCCGTCACAGCATCGGAAGCCCCAGAATTCCCTCGCCTCACAGCCTCCTCGTCGCACTCGTAATCTTCATCGCAAGCGCGGAGCGCCGATCGAGAACCGCCGGCGAATTGGCCGGAAGGGTAAGATTTGGATCGGAACAAACGGGTCATCCGGGTAACAACGAACCGAATTCTGAGGTAGAACTAGAAGGAGAAGATTAAGTATTAGGAAGAGCAGATCGACGGGTCGGGTCTGGAAGGAAGACATTCACTCTGTAATAATTATACTCCACTGGTAGATGATTGGAGGTGAAGTTATGCAGTTTTACTCATTTCTATCTCTCTAGCTCGTGACAAGTGAAAATGAAGTTTTTTTATACTCCTAACTCCCTAAATAGATTATAATTTTTTTTCTTCTTATTTCGATAACTTTTATTTGTTTATGCGATTTCATTAAGTATTTGATAAAATAAAATATTCTTGTCACCTCTTGTTTTGTAAAACTTTTGACGTAGTTTTTTAATATGTGATTTTTATATCTTATTGATATACCAATTTGTAAATAAAATAATTTCAAAAAATATGAAATTTTACTCCATAACCCGCAATTTGTAATCAAATTGGGGACGGAGGGAGTATATAATGATGAAAGCGAGGGAAACATAACTAAGGGTATATTCTCCGATGGGATTAATTCTGATCTAATTGAAATAAATTCTGATCTCATCTAAATGTAGTTATATTTAAAGCTATTTTTGATCTGATATGATATGATTCTAATAAAATAAATAATGCGTAAAAAAATTAGTTATGGAGAACATCACCTAAAAGATCTAAGGAAAAGGGGGGCAAAGTTCGGAGAAACCTATAACACCATTTTTAAGGTAAATTATATGGTACACTCGGATGTACGAATGTATTTTTCTTCTTTATACATCATGAAAATTTGTAATTGAGAAATATTTTAAAACAAATATTGCGTTGTTTCAGAATGAACATATTTTAGAATGAAAATAGTATGTCGAGTAAGATTCGGAATGAACATTATGGCTGAAAGTGAGCATCTATTGATTCAAAATGAATATTTGCTAAGTGTACCTAACTATACGTACACTCTGATGTATACTATACATTCTCTTGATCGGTAAATAGAGAGATTTATGTTTGTTTTTGTGTAAAAAAGCGTTACAAACAAGGTCATCACGTCCAACAAGTAAAGTTTAGTGGGCGGTCTGAGTGTCCTTCACCTGTCCTATACTGTCAAGAAACCAACTCAACTAAAATTTTAAGGTTGTGGTCTAGAAATGATTTTTATATTCTAACATGTTCTCTCACATACAGGCGTGACCACTTCGGACCTTGCACGCGAAACTTAATTCCTTTTTAAATTGGACGGCAATGAGTTTCGAGCACATGACTTCTTAGTGAACTAGACTTATATACAATGTCAAGGAACCAACTCAACTCAATAGTTGAAGCTTGAACTTAATTGATTGGATTGAATCTTTTAATGTGCTTCAACCATAGTGTCTTATTGCCTAATTCATTAGTCTGTACCACATCCATAAATTGTTTCATGGTATCAGAGATAGTGTTAGCCCAAATCGTTTGTTAAGGTCTCTGTCTAGATGTTTATTTCTAACGGTTATAGTCTTTAGCCAAGTTCTCATATTTTAGACTAGTTCATCTTGACGCTTATTCACAGAAGTTTATTCTTCAACCAACAATAATATTTGACTTACTTTATTTTTCAATTCAATTTATTTAATTATAGGTGTAAAATTTAAAAGTAGAATTTATATACTCCTTCCGTCCACCTTAGATCCTCCTATTACGCGTTACGAAAATTGATCGATTTTATTTCCAATTCAGTTTATTTTTTACAGAGGTAAAATTTAAAAATAAAATTTACTCCGTATATAGTAAAAAACTGTATGAAGACTAGAAGTGGAAAGACTACTTGTTACACCATAGAATTTACTATTAAAATAAGTCACGACATCTTGTGACATGTAATTTTTGCCTCACCATTGCCCTTAATTTAAACAAAATGATAATTGGAGAAGGGTCTGATCTCACGCGCGCATCCATTCAATCTCTTCTCCTGCTGCTGCTACTATATCTGACTCTGACGCTTTTGATTCTTTTTCATTCTCGTCTCTTTTTCTTTTATCTTTGTTTCTTTGTTTTTTCCCCATCTCTCTCTCTCTACTATATATACACACAGTTTAGATCCCTTTCTCTCTCTACATTCTCCACTGAGAGCAGTCCGCGAACGATCTGAGCCGTCCGATGTGTGGACTTTCCCAAGGTTGACCGGACGCGCTGAACTGCCGGAGGGTGGGAGGGGGCGCCGGCGGTTTGTTCGCACTGTGCCGCCGCGATGGGCCAGTGTTCCGGCAAGTCGATCTCCACCATCGGGGATGTCGACGGCGCAACCACTATTACGTCCTACGCCGATCAGCCGTCCCGGAGTCCTCCGCCTCCGTCCGCCGTCAACTGCGCCGCGGTCAACACTCCCTCCGTGAAGAACACCCCCGCCAGATCCTCCGCTGCGCCCAGCCCGTGGCCCAGTCCTTATCCGCACGGGAGTGGTGTTCCCGGGGGATCCAGTCCGCTGCCCGGTGGAGTGTCTCCGTCGCCGGCTAGGTCTACTCCCAGACGGTTCTTCAAGCGGCCGTTCCCGCCGCCTTCTCCTGCTAAGCACATCAAGGCTTCCCTTGCCAGGCGATTCGGACAAGCTAAGACGCCCCGAGAGGGGCCAATCCCAGAGGACGGCTCGTCGGAGCCCGATCAGTTGCTGGATAAGAATTTCGGCTACAATAGGAACTTTGGTGCCAAGTACGAATTGGGGAAGGAGGTAGGGCGAGGGCATTTCGGTCATACTTGCTGCGCCAGGGGCAAGAAGGGAGAAGTCAGGGACCTCCCTCTCGCAGTCAAAATCATTTCCAAAGCCAAGGTACTTTCAATCTCTCTTATTACACATTGGTTTGATAAGATTCAATAGCGCCATTATTATCTCATTTCCTGCTTAATTTTGCCATTTTTTAGTACGAGTAGGTTCATCCGTTTAAGTGTGGGGCGGCCAAGAATTAATTGTGAACAGTAAATGTAGTTGAGAGAGTTAAGAGTTTGAAACCTTTATGTTCACCAACTTATTTTGGTGGAGTTTAACTCTCAATGGTCAGCTTTGGTTAAGTGTCTGACTGGCTGTCAGAATACTTTGAATCTTCAACAAGGGTTCCAACATGCAATTTGTTCTAAAACATGTTGCACTCCAGCCGAGAATGAGGGCCTTTGGTCTCTATACATTTGTTTGACTGATATGTTTTGTAGAATCCTTATGGAAAATACTACACTTGATTTGTTTTATGGAAAGGGAGCGGTTAAAATGACACCAGTTGCTTACACCAGTTCGTTTAGGGCACCTACGATGTCCCGTATGTAAAAATGACGGTTCCTACCCCCAAACTCCCACCCTAGTATACTGCCATGCCAGGATAGGGAGGCGGGCGGGAGGGGGGGCCGGGGCTGGGGTTGGGAGTTTAGGGGGAGGGTTAGGGGGTAGGAATTTTCATTTTTACAAACAAGACACTGTGGTGCCCTAAACGAACTGGTGTAAACAACTGGTGTATAAGTAACTAATGCTATTTTAGACGCTCCCTTATGGAAAGGGAGAAAATACTACAGTACTACAGAATTCTTTTAAAACTTGGTACATCTCAGAACGCCATATCATTAAATAAGGTTTGGGACATGCTTTTTTGTTCTAGATGAGAATTGAGTATTCATAGCCTCTATCATTTTCATTATGCAGCTGTTTATCTTCATAACTTTGCCCTTTCAACTAATAGATGGGAACGTATATGGTAAGGGAAGAGATTGGAGATGTTAAATGGTAAAATGACGTGTGATATATTAGGGATTGTTTAGGAATGAAATTGTTGAGATACTAATGAGTTTAGGAACCTTTCACGTTTGTCCCCTTTCACATCTTTTTATGAGCCTTTTAAGGGACAAGTACACATTTGTTTTGTCCATTATGATTTAAACCCTTCTTTTTAGAATTCTGGGAATAAATTATAAGATTGTGCTAAAATTTGATCAAATAGGTGAGTGTAATGAAGGTGCACCAAAACTTTCCACCTAAATAAAATGCCCATACATGTATAGTTGTAAAGAGTTCTAGGTGCCAGGTAGGTGGGATATTCGCTCAAATTAGAAAGGGCTTAAGTGGGATAGAATACAAAAAATTGGAATTGGGTATTTACGATTTAGTTTAGGATATTGTGCCGGATTTTCAGGCTATATTATATATTTATATTCCACACTTTTAGCTGCTATATACTGATTACACTCTCATGAACAAAGACTAAGCTAAGAGAGACATCCTTCTTATTGATCTTTCCTCATGTAATTATTTAATACGAGTAATTAACAAGCTTCTCACATGCAAAGATCTATTGAAGAATTCTACAATGTGCCTATACTATAGTAACTCCTTTACCTTGTTTTTTCCACAATCGTCTTAACCCATGGATGATCGCTGTTTAACTCACTTGTGTTCTTTGGTGTTCAATGTATTGTTTCGATAGAAGACACAGGGAATAGTTTATAGTTACAATTGATTGTTACAACTATTATTTTATTAGAGTAAAATAGTAAATAAAATAAAGTAAATAAGTAAATAAAGATATAGTTTGACCTTGTGAATAGTAATTGTGAAGTTTATTTGGGGATAGAGGTGTATGTTATCATGTCCATCAGTCCTGACAGTTTTATTGCAATGGTTTTTGTTAAAAAAATACTTGTTTCGATTGAAGACGGTAGGTTGGTCTAATTTAACAGGAAGTTTGTGAGGGTAGAACATGCAGTAGATATATAGATTGTTGAGGGTAAGTGTGTATTTACTAAAAATAAGTAAAAAGTGTGTGCCAAAAAATGAATCGAGAAGATGAATTTGGGTCATCCTAAAGTTGCAAGTGAGAAGATGATTTTGGGACGGAGGGAATACTCCGTATTGGGCTGCTAGTAGGCCGCCAAAATTTTGGAATTGCACTAAATTTTCACTTCATTAACAATAAGAATCACATTGAACTGAGTCAAAACCTGTTCTTTCACTTGTGCCTTTTCATGCGACCATTGTCCACTGAGACACATTGGGACGGACTACTAGTTGCTTCAGACCCGCTCTTAGAGTCTTTTTCCAAGATAATTAAAATGTGAATTCTAAGACTTACTTTAATTTTAGTGTTCAAAGTAGCATACTAAAAAATGCATTAAAAGCTATACCAAACACAGAAATGAAATTGAAAATTATAAGATGAAGTATTAATTAAATAATGTAGGTTATGTAAAATAAGATGCTGGCAGCACCTATGAATATATGGGGGATATATAAAAATTTAACTTTAGATTGAACTAGAGCCACCCAATTGTGAATTAAAAAAACAGTTTTATTGAAATAGAGCTTGTTTAAGCTTGCAATGTGTCATGTCCTATGTGTATTGCATTGATATGGTATATAACAACTATCTTATCTTTGCTATAAGGCACTCTCTTGGGATTTCTTCACTGACTTTGGTTCATTTAAGAATTGGCATGGAGGGCAAGGAAAAGAATTTTTTTTGTTTAGAAGAAAGTATAGCCTATCAACATAAGTACTTATTTAGAATAGAATTAATCATTAATTATATACTATGAATATTTTAAGTTCTTATTCTTATCTTCATAATTGTCTTGACATGGGTTTTGATGAAGTGGAAACTGCATGATTGAGAAACATTATTGTCTACCAAATCTTTTGTCCAAAGAAATGGGAAGATAAAGTTGTTGGGAGGACAAAAAGGAAAGGATGTAAATATATAAGGTGCAGAAATATTTGAAATTTAGGAATCTTTGCTAATTAAAGGTGAATCTTTGTTTCGTCTATGAAGTAAAAAGAAAATTAGAAATAAATTATGATAGGAAATTATCAAGTCCATTTTTTGTCATGATCTAGTTATGGTCCGTATGATAGGTACACAAACTAAAATTGCTTTTCTCAACATAATTTCTGATGGATCATGGATGGCATTGTTAATTAATATAACGATAAACTACCAAACTTTGATAAGCCCTCCATCCCTGAATAAACTTTAGTTTGCAGTATACTATGTTTGACTAAAGTTATTTTCAATTCAAGTTGTATAAACATTGGTGCAAAATTTTAAAAATAAAATTTACATTTTTAAAAACTACATCAAAAGTTCTAATACATACGGAGTATAAAACAAATGGTCACATGACTATTTTTTTTCTTACAATTGATTAAAGTAAATAAGTAAAGAAAGATGATATAGTTTGACGTTGTGAATAGTAAATGTGAAGTTTATTTGGGGACGGAGGGAGTATGTTTTTATGTCCATTAGTCCTTGCAGTTTTATTGCTATTTGCAATGCTTTTTGTTTATAAAAAAAGGACTAGTCAACTATGGATGGTAAAATTGTTTCGACTGACTACATTACCCATCATAATATCTATTTTTCACCAGCATAAGCCACATCACAACTTGTTTCACAGATGACAACAGCAATATCTATTGAAGATGTTCGCAGAGAAGTAAAGATTTTGAAAGCTCTCTCTGGCCATAGGCATCTGGTCAAATTTTATGATGCCTGTGAGGATGCCAATAATGTTTACATTGTTATGGAGTATGTACTTGATCTTTTCCTTCTCTACCATCCATGCCCCATTCATGTTCTGCTCATACTAACACTGTTTTTATTTCCCAAACCCACCACACCTACACATATCTTTTAGCCTTTGTGGCAGTGTATATTGGATAATAGGATAATATGTTGTTTTCCTTTAATTTGTTTAAACCGGTATAAATTGTGCCTCATTTTTAAATGTTTTTTGATGTGGTCAAAATGGAATGGTTTTTGATCAGATAAGATGCAAATTTTTCCTGATAAATTTCTACTTTTTGTATGTCACAGGTTATGTGAAGGAGGAGAATTACTTGACAGAATATTGTCACGGTAAAGAAAATGGATTTGAATAAGTTCCATACGACCACCTACATTATGTATTGATCAAAAAGAGTGTATATTTTCTCTTCTAGGGGTGGCAGATACTCAGAAGATGATGCGAAGCTTATTGTTGTACAAATTCTGAGCGTAGTTGCATTCTGTCATCTACAAGGTGTTGTTCATCGTGACCTGAAGCCTGAGGTTGTCTTCTAATATTGATATTGGTTTCATTTTTTTTCCAGATTGATCAAATATTTGCTTTCTGGGTGCCTTGCACGACTAATACTCTTCCAATGGCATGTATTACAGAATTTTTTATTCTCCTCTAGAAATGAAGATGCTGATATGAAGCTAATTGATTTTGGTCTTTCTGACTTTATTAGACCAGGTATCATTGTCAATTAACACATTTCTTTGTTCATATATTGTTGACAGTAATTGCTACTTTGATTTAAAAGTCTTGGTGGTTATTAGATGTGCATTAACAATTTCTTCATTGCCTTTTGAAATGGATGAAGGACTATGATGTTCTTTTTTTCCCCTTTTCTATTTGTAGCCTAGCTGCTCTAGCATACTTTCTTTTGGAGTAGCAATTGTAGCCATACCTTTGCATTGCCACACTATTCAAAATATTTTTTTTTCTCCCTTAAATTTGAAGTGTCAATCTATCTCGCAATTATTCCCATTTTGACCAGACATGAGATATAAAAGAATGAATTTTATTTAGAAGAGAGACATTAATGGACCACATATTGCTTTCCTTGAAAAGGAATGAGTTATAGGCAGAACAAATATCAGAGAGGCTTAGTTATTTTGTACACGAGTCTTAATTCATTTCCCGCTTACATTTGGGATTTTGTAGATGAAAGGCTTAATGATATTGTTGGAAGTGCATATTATGTGGCACCAGAGGTGCTGCATAGATCGTACAGTTCAGATGCAGATATATGGAGTATTGGAGTGATCACCTATATTTTGTTATGTGGAAGCAGACCATTCTGGGCCAGGACAGAATCTGGAATTTTCCGTGCAGTCCTACGAGCAGACCCCTACTTTGAAGATTTACCGTGGCCTTCTGTTTCCCAAGAAGGAAAGGACTTTGTTAAAAGGCTTCTAAATAAGGACTATAGAAAAAGAATGACTGCTGCTCAAGCTTTGAGTAAGTTATCTTCAGCTCATATTGTGTTTGTTCATCATAATTTGTCTTTTTGCAAAAAATTTATATTGGGGGCCTGTTAATATTAGAGCTAAGTTTACAATACGGGTAAAAGCCTAAGAAGCAAGAGGACACTAGAAACCTTTGCTAGTCTGTGCTAGCAACTTATTTTATCTTATTGCGTATTGCTTTTTTTTTTAAAGGTGGTTTATTCCTACAGACAGAAGTCACCGCCGAGTATACAAATGACTGCATTCTTTAATAATTTCAATTGCAGTGCATCCATGGTTGCGGAGCGAAAGCCATCCCATTCCTCTAGATATATTGATCTATAAGTTGGTCAAGAGTTATTTAAATGCAACCCCCCTCAAACGTGCAGCACTGAAGGTATCAATATATATGTACACTATATTCTTTCGCTTCCTCTTCTCATGACGCAGAGCTTTTACAGTTCTACAAGCACAGCAGACACTTGCTTTTTAATACCCTCTTTAGCCTTTTTTAATACGAAGTTTTTTCTTGAATTTTTTTTTCTTTCTTTTTCATCTCTGTTAAATTCTCAATTGCTAGTTCATGAAATATATTGTTATCCCTGCATTTTTGACGAACTTACATTGGTGCCCCTGAGACTTGGCAGCCCTCTAAAATACCCTGCCTTTAATCTTTTTAAAAAGGAAACAAGTCCTGTGTACCCGGGGCTTGAACAAAAGTTTTTATTTTCCATCATACCTGGTAACAGGAAATTGGAAGAAACACCTAACTAGGACTGAAACTTGCTCCATATACCAAAATAAGACCTTCAAAATTTTATACCAAAATAGGAATGCTTAACAATGCCAACATATAATGCCAAAAATACAGTAAATGCCAACACATTAGACCAAATTGTGGTGTTTATAGTTCCAGCACTCCTATAAGTCCTATTTAGGGGATAAAAACATAGGAGGTCTTATTTTGGTATAAGTTTTATGTTTTAGCCTTATTTAGGTGTATTTCTTCAGAAATTACCCATTTGCTGCAGTCCTTAATATATGCCTTTGCATGCCCTCTATTAATTATCCCAGGGTTTTCATTGTGCCCCACATGTTTTTACATTTGCATCATGATTTGGACACATCTTGAAAATGTGAACTATGTATGTCTCTTCAATTATATCCATTGAGCTAATTTTAGTGTGTTTGTCTCTTGGTTGAGATATGAAAACAGAAGAACTCTTAATAATTAATAGTATAGCAGAAGGTGATTTTTCCTTTTATATTTTCATGATTTCAGGCTCTATCAAAAGGATTAACAGAGGATGAGTTGGTTTACTTGAGAGCACAATTTCTGCTTTTGGAACCTAGTAAAGACGGACGCATCTCCGTTGAAAATTTCAGAATGGTAAGTGCTACCAAGACATCAAGGAACCCCCCCCCCCCCNCCCAAACCAGCTGGATAACATTCCTTAGTGGTCTCTCTTGTTTAGTTTGCTTTCATTATTTGGATTTAGGCCATAAGTTTGAAGCAGCAAAAGTTATTTGTGTTCAAATAAATGGCAGGCTCTTTCAAGAAATGCTACTGATGCTATGAAAGAGTCTAGGGTCCCAGAGATTCTGAATGCGGTAAGATGTTTCTCTTCTTTAGTTATTTACTTAGTGATTTGCCCGTTATGCTGCAACGCCTTTACATTATTCTGCTGCGTTTGGGATCATGTTGCAAAAATGGACATACTAAATTTTGAACATTATTCCCGCCCGCTCTTACATACCTTAGGTGTGGTTGGTAAGATGGAATGGCATATAATGTAATGTAATCAAGCATACAAATATGAATATTAAACTAACAATACCCCACTCTCTCCAATCTTGAATGCAATGTAAAAAAAGGTCTTGCTTTATGAACATGTCCCAAAAAAAAGGAATCTGGGTTCTAGATCTTAATTTGTTCCAATATACTACCTCTGTCCCACAAAAACATTTCCAACTTTTCTTTTTTGGATGTCCCAAAAAAATTTCTTTATTTCCTTTTAAAAAATTGAATGTGGCTAAAAAAATTCTCTACTAAACAAATGTTAACCGCTCACTTTCCAACACTTTTCTTACACCCCGTGAGAGTCAAGCGCAAAAGCTTCTTAGAGGACGGAGGGCGTACAATATAATGTGGCTGGTTGCGGTGTTGTGGCGTGACCTTGAGGTCACAACAAGCTCTGACTGTTGGACACAGCCTCTTGCAAAAAGATGTGAGGTAAGGCTTGTCTACATCACACCCTTGTAGTGGGACCAGGCTGTGCTTTTTTATTCTCTCCGTCTCAAGATAAGTTTCATAGTTTGACTTTGCGGATTTTAAGAATATTGTTGAAAAGTGAAAACTGCACCGTTATTTTGGGATGGACGAAAAAGGAAATCGTGAGGTTTATTTTGGGACGGAAGTAGTAAATATGATCTAACCACACAGCTTCATTGCAACCTTTTTTTGTCCAGATGGCGCCACTATCATACAGGAAGATGGACTTTGAGGAGTTCTGTGCTGCTGCCATCAGCATTTACCAGCTGGAAGCTCTCGAGGGCTGGGAGCGAATCGCATCAACCGCATTTGACTTTTTCGAACTTGAGGGTAACCGCGTGATCTCCGTAGAGGAATTGGCCCGGGTACATTTTTGCATATTTCTCTCTTTCTCTCTTCCTTTCCTTTCTTTCTCTTCCCTTCCCCCCACCCCCACCCCACCCCACCCACCCCCCGACGAGCAACATATATATACATATTTTGTTCACACGACGCAGGAATTGAATGTGGGTCCCACTGCCCACACGATCCTCCGAGACTGGATCAGGACCGACGGGAAACTCAGCCTCCTCGGGTTCACTAAATTTTTGCACGGTGTCACGTTCCGCAGCTCAAACACAAGACATCATTAGTGGGTCCCGGAAGGACACGGCGGGCGTGGGGCCCGTTCCGATGATGCCTTCTTTGCCCTTCTTGTGAAAGAGAGGGAGAGAGTGAAAGTAGGGAGATTGGTTTGAGGGTGGGGCCCCGGTGAAAGGGAAGGTATCTAAATTCTAATTGGACTGTGCAGCCAATGGACAGAGAGAGTTAGGACTGAGCACTACTGGTGCGCATTTAGAAGAGAGGCCATTTGAATTGTACTATAATGGATGGTGACTGAAGAGATTCACTTTCTTTGGTTCTTTTTTTTTTTTTTTTTTGAAAATTAAATTTTAGATTCAGAAGTACAAAAAAAATGCGAAATTCTTTGTAATTTTACACGTTTAAATTTCTTGTTTTGGATGAATCGGCATTTATTTGGGTACACTGTTGGGCAAAACCTGCCCATGTTAGGTTACTCGTTTGTTTCTTTTGAATCTTTCCAATTTGATTTTCAAAACTCAATTATTTTTTTTTGAACTTTGACTATAAATTAAGAAAGAAATACATTGAATTATACTCCGTAATATTTTTAATTTCAATAAGTTGATTTTGAAACATAGATGACATGAAACTGTTGTGTTAAGATATTAAATCGTACTTATTTTTAAAAAAAGAACTTCACTAAGAATAATATTCACTTGTTTATTTATTTTCTTTTGGTAGAAAATTATAGATGAGAATGAGAAACGATAGTTTAAGTAGACAACGATTCTAGTTGACAAATGATGCATCGGCAGTGGCTTCTGGTACTAGATATGACAAGAAAGATATATAATTAATGTGAAATTACATTTTTAGCTCTCACATTAACATCAACATGACAGATGATAAAAGAAAGATTATATGTGGAAAGATACCAATTAAAAAGATCACAAGCGTATTATTTGATAATAGAGAATTAAATTATAAAGTTGCTCAAAATAGTACATTGACTAAATTATTTCGATTTTGAGTTTATGGAATAATTTTACCATTTGTAAATAATATAGGAACTTATACGGTACTTTGTCCCATCCACAGTCCACACTACAAACGAAAAAGATTTTAACACTATCCACTCATAACCAAAACAGAAATGCTGGCAGCAACAACATACATCCAACCAAAAATAGGGCGGGCAAGTAGTCCCAAAATTTTGAAATTACAATTGGGAGGGAAATTTAAAAGACTTTCCTCCCAAAAAAAGTCCCACCAAAACCTAAACTATAAATTACCCCACCTTTGCTAATTTTAGAAACTCAATGCTACACATAATATATGTAGATTTCTTCTTTCCTTTTATGCTCTTAATTTATCTTCACCCAAGCCTTCTTCTCTCACTAGGAGCGGGCACGGGTCGGGACGGTCTGAGTTTTATAGTGCTCCGCATCTTTCTTTTTTTTTTTCAAACACTTTGGAATGGTTCGGGCTGTAGGTTTATCCCTCCTTGTCCTTTAATTAATGTTCGGGATTAGGATATAACATAGCGGATTCACGTTGTCTAACTTTGTCATTATCTGAAGTTAGAGATAAAAATACTGTATAAAATACATAAAACAAGGCAACCAAATTTGGCTTTGGGCTTAGTTTATTAGTACTTGATGGATACCCTGGAATGGGGGTATCCGGCCCAACGGAAAAGCGGCCCAACCCAGCCATGCCTAGGCCCACCTAGGGCGAAAACAAGAGGAAACTGAAGTCTCAAGAAGGCCGCTACTGCGTCAAGTTACACTCGGCTCCGGCAGACATGTTCGGCCTCAGACCACCCTCGGCCGGTCTTTCATCAGGAGATCACGCATACTCGGCCTCGGCCCGAGATGCTAGCGGACCAGGACCGTAGGCATGGGAGCTGCCTAATCAGTCAAATCAAGGGGCCCACGATTGGACCCCTGCCACACCTCCGTCAGAGTAGTTTTAGCCACCCTCCTTCTAACCTACTTTGTATAGCCGCCCTAGGAATAATGATGTGGTTAGGCGCCGCCAGTAAACAACCAAATCTTAGTGGGCCCGATCCGTTGGGCTCTAGACTAACGGTCGGGAACCCCATCTGTAATTTATACATAAATCCTTTCTTGAGAGAAAGGAAGAGGGGTTCTCTTGCACACTAATACTTACAATCTTACTTGATTCCCAACTTGTGCACTCTCGACTCAGTTCGATACCCTTTCGCCTAGTCTCATAGGCCCCCGGGTTCCTTAACCCAACAGTACTATTATAGTATAAAAGCATACTAGTACTAGCATTTTTTAAGCAGCATAATTACTATTATACGAGGTATTTATAAAATATTTTACTATTTTTTTCAGCCAATAGCAAATAAATTTAATTACTCAAAATGTAGAACGAGTGTGTTTAGGAATAGCGTTAGAGATTAGCGTTAGTGTTTTGTATAAAATCTCAACGGTGCATATTACTTCGAAAACGCTAACGCTAAACGCTGGCCGTAGATAGCATTTTTAAAACGTTAACGCTAATCTCTAACGCTATTCTCAAACATGTCCAACACAAATTACAAACATAGCACAAAACAAACATAGCACAAACTAACACAAACATCACTATAGAAATAACACCAAAAAGTTAAATTACAGTCACCAAACTAGGCTACCAATTAAAGAAGCTCAGATCTACCTTAGCTTTGGTCTTGCTATTAATAAAAGTTTTGACAATATAGATTATATTTTGGGACAAACAGAAGAGAACAATATACTCTTATGTTGTCCCACTATTGTATCCTTTAGATTGGAGATGGGATGAGTTTGGAACAAAAAAATGTATTCCTAATTAAATAGTACAATTACAAAATGATACCGGACTATTTCAGGACGAGCCAACTAGAACGAATGGAATTTCATGCCCACCCCTACCCTTCACTGATCCCCGTCCTTCCACTGATCAATATAGAAACTAAGAGTAAAAATATGAATCCTACCAAAAATATATGTAAACATGGGCATATGTTATGGACCCTATTAACAACAATTTTAATTGTAATTACTAAATACCAATAACAACTATTATTTTTATTTTTTGTTATTCTAAATAATATTGTTTTATTATAAAAAAAAATGGTGTACCTAACATAGGGTAGGGAGGGGCACGGGGACAATGGTGGGTACGGGTAGTCCAACCATTTTTGACACAAACAAAACAAATGATAAGAGGGAAATGTTATGCAAGTGTACTCCGTACCTAATTATTATTATTGTCGACACTCCCCCGCCCCCACTCTTTTATGCTTCTTTCTCCCCGTCTCCCAGTAGGCGTTGCGCTGTCGGCAAGGCAAGAAGTGCCAAAGAAGTAAAACCCGAGTTTGATTCTTGTCAACTGCACTGAAAGCAACTATGCTAAGCATAGGACCTTTGCAAGTACCAGGTGCAGACTTTACTGTTTGCAACCAATCTGTGATTAAAGTCCAATTTACTTTCTCTCAGTGAATGTCCGATCAGATCTGAGGGGTCCAATTTCCTTTACTTTCTCCCTATCAATCTGAAGGGGCCCTCGGGGATGGGCTCATTTTTCTCACTTTCCTTTCCCAAATAAAGTTTCTCTATTAATTTACTTATAATTATTTTTTATCCAAAAAAATAAGTTCAAATATTAGAAATAAAGAATTCTATAAATAATAGTGGGAGTCTTATATTATTTTATCATATGAGTAGTCGAAACTGGCAAAGAAATTAATCAAAGTTTGATATGTGAATCGTAAACATAAATATCTTTGACATGTGAAGAGTGTAAATTAGTTTACACTTAGAGTACTGAGTATAATATTTTCCTGCCTTCGGAGGTCTTCTTAATACACTGCACTGCTTAGTAAAGTTCTTCATTAATCGTCCTAGACCAGCCCAAACTGAAACAGATCAGATCGAATATCTAAATCCAAAAATTTCTATACCAAAACCGAAACTTAATCTATCACCGTAAATACTTATCTAACCAAGAATATATCAAAGTGATACAAAAAAATACTTCGTATAATATTAGAGAAATACCTATACATTAGGTATCTTACTCAAAATTTATTAACAGACAACTATTATTATTAAAAGTAAACTCATAATTAAATTCATCTAATATAGATATTTTGCTAGAATATACATTTAGATCATTAAAATATAACAATAAATTATACTCCCAAAATATTTGGTCTTGGATACTGATGGTGTAAATTACCACGGAAACACTAAGTAAAAGTAATCGGAAGGGCTGTAGGTAGAAACACCTGTAACCCGGTTTGTTATTGATAATGCTGGGACTATTACAAAGTACAAGCCGTGAAGGTTTATAAAAACATACCTCACAAATGAGGATTTTAGGGGTATTTATAATAAAGCTAAGCACGTCAAGCACGTCAAGCACGTCCCTGGTTATCCAACCGGTCAGCCTTCTGACCGGTCCCATAGAGCACCTGGAGAGCCCGGTCTGAGGAAAGTGCGCCCTGCCACTTCGAACACCACCCAGTCGGACGAACAAACCGGGTGGCATCCATGGGTATTTACCCATCAAGGAGTCCTCCGATTCCCGGTCCTGTGGGGACCATCAGGAGCGGGAAGCACATGCGATTATCTTTTGAAATTTGAACTGCTCAGTCGCTTTTTGGCGGGAAAATGGCCTCGGAAAACCAGCTCCTAACTCAAAATATTTGAAATTTGAAATGTGATTTTTGAATTTTCAAAAACCGGGCGTCCAAAGCGGGAGAATCTTCCCGAAATCGGGTTCAGAGCCGCCGATTTAATGTGCCGTTTCATCTCCCCGAGAGGTTATGATGGCAAATCATTTCAGCTGCCACGTGTCATTTCCTTATTCGCCCGTCTGGGCGGCATCTCTCCTATATAAAGCGTCGTTCTCCTTGGAATTTCTTCACTTGCAAATCTTCGATTCAAAAAACTGCCCGGCTTCTTCTGCTATTTCCGAGTCCTCCGAGTCTTCTAACCGTCTCCAAGTAAGTCTTTTTTTCCTTCCCTTTCTGAGTCATGTCTGACCGTGAGGATAGCCAGAACCCGTCCGTTCACTCCTATGGTTCTGGTGGCCGGTCCCCAACCTTCGGTTCC